ACAATCTAAGGTCCCTAACCCTCAAGGGGCGTACAATCTAAGGTCCCTAACTCACATTCATACATACACACAATACTATTTATTTGGCATCGGAGGTACAGCAGACCAGAAGTATACTTCAGGGCAGATCAAGGATTCATGGTACTGCATGGCAACAAGCCAGGGTAGTGTGCATCCAAGTATTTTTTTTTTTTTTTTAATATATTTCATTTTATTTTCTGTCCAATTTTTGTGTGTTACTTTCAATAAAAATTATTTTACGTAACTGAATTGTATTTTTTTAAATTCATTTTAATTTAAATTCATGATATTAATTAAAAAGTCGAATATAATAAAATTAATTATAAAAAAAAATATTTTTTTTTAAAAACTGTTCATTTTGGGTTCAGTTTTTCAGCCAAGTGCATCCTGAATTTTCAGGTTCGGTTACAATCGAGAATTTTTCATTTCGGTGCACCACTAGTTATAACCCTTCTGTAATCTCTCAGAAATAAAATGAATGCTTACGTGAAGTTTTACTGATTGGAAAATACTTTCCGAAGTTTAAGTAAAATAAACGCAAAATAATTAAATCTCTCTCCCCATTAATCCCCCAATAGCACACAAGATCCTCCGGGCGACATTTAGTTGCGTTAGCGTCGAACACTCACGCGAGTTGTCGCAATGCCATTCAGAATCTTTGCAATCACCGAACCGTCGGCTTGGACTAATTCCTGCCGTGGAAAACCTACTTGATCTTTTCTTAATGTTACACTATTGATTTACAAAGCGATTATTTTTCCCGCGTGCGTTGTGATGTAACATGGAAATAAATCTTTCCTAACCTGGAAAGGTGAACTTTGAGTTTTGAGCTTTACCGCTCGGCTATGTTACATAAAAACAAAACGTTTGTTGTATCCAAAGGCTTAGTGCAGGCTTGTAAAGGTTTAACAAAAGGATAATAAACTTTATTTTCCGTCATGTGGCTGTAATTTTTTTCAATTTCATCGAACTAAAAATAACTGTCATTTGTTTTTTTTGTTTTTTTTTTTTTTGTTTTGTTTTTTATAAATTTATTAAAATACTGTCACCTTGCCCACTGAATGTGGAAAGCCCTCTCAGCTTATGGACACACTGCCAGGGCTCTACCGCTCTGCCTCCGCTCCTTCCACTACACCCTGCCAGGGCTCCTGTACAGCTCCTTCCACTATACCCTGCCAGGGCTCCTCTACCGCTCCTTCCACTACACCCTGCCAGGGCTCCTCTACCACTCCTTCCACTACACCCTGCCAGGGCTCCTGTACTGCTCCTTCCACTACATCCTGCCAGGGCTCCTGTACTGCTCCTTCCACTACATCCTGCCAGGGCTCCTCTACCGCTCCTTCCACTACACCCTGCCAGGGCTCCTGTACTGCTCCTTCCACTACATCCTGCCAGGGCTCCTGTACTGCTCCTTCCACTACACACTTCCAGGCCTCCTCTACCGCTCCTTCCACTACACCCATCCAGGACTCCTCTACTGCTCCTTCCACTACACCCATCCAGGGCTCCTCTACCGCTTCTTCCACTACACCCACCCAGGGCTCCTCTACCGCTCCTCCTCCACTACACCCTGCCAGGACTCCTCTACCGCTCCTTCCACTACACCCGTCCAGGACTCCTCTACTGCTCCTTCCACTACACCCATCCAGGGCTCCTCTACCACTCCTTCCACTACATCCTGCCAGGGCTCCTCTACTGCTCATTCCACTACAATCTGTCAGGGCTCCTCTACCGCTCCTTCCACTACACCTTTCCAGGGCTCCTCTACCGCTCCTTCCACTACATCCTGCCAGGGCTCCTCTACCGCTCCTTCCACTACACCCTGCCAGGGCTCCTGTACTGCTCCTTCCACTACATCCTGCCAGGGCTCCTGTACTGCTCCTTCCACTACATCCTGCCAGGGCTCCTCTTCTGCTCCTTCCACTACACCCTGCCAGGGCTCCTCTACCGCTCCTTTTTACTACACCCTTCCAGGGCTCCTCTACCGCTTCTTCCACTACACCCGCCCAGGGCTCCTCTACCGCTCCTTCCACTACATCCTTCCAGGATTCCTCTACCACTCATTCCACTACACCCTGCCAGGGCTACTCTACCACTTCCTCAACTACACCCTTCCAGGGCTCCTCTACCGCTCCTTCCACTACACCCACCCAGGGCTCCTCTACCGCTTCTTCCACTACACCCACCCAGGGCTCCTGTACTGCTCCTTCTACTACTTCCTGCCAGGGCTCCTCTACCTCTTCTTCCACTACACCCCACCCTGGCAGGGCTCCTCTATCGCTCCTTCCACTACACCCTGCCAGGGTTCCTCTACCACTCCTTTCACTACACCTTTCCAGGGCTCCTCTACCGCTCCTTCCACTACATCCTGCCAGGGCTGCTCTACCGCTCCTTCCACTACATCCTGCCAGGGCTCCTCTACCGCTCCCTCCACTACATCCTGCCAGGGCTCCTCTACCGCTCCTTCCACTACACCCTGCCAGGGCTCCTCTACCGCTCCTTCCACTACACCCTGCCAGGGCTCCTCTACCGCTCCTTCCACTACATCCTTCCAGGGTTCCTCTACCGCTCCTTCCACTACACCCTGCCAGGGCTCCTCTACCGCTCCTTCCCACTACACCCGTCCAGGGCTCCTCTACCGCTCCTTCCACTACATCCTTCTAGGGTTCCTCTACCGCTCCTTCCACTACACCCTGCCAGGGCTCCTCTACCGCTTCCTCAACTACACCCGTGCAGGTCTCCTCTACCGCTCCTTCCACTACACCCTTCCAGGGCTCCTCTACCACTCCTTCCACTACACCCTTCCAGGGCTCCTCTACCGCTCCTTCCACTACACCCTGCCAGGACTCTACCGCTCCTTCCACTACACCCGTCCAGGACTCCTCTACTGCTCCTTCCACTACACCCATCCAGGGCTCCTCTACCGCTTCTTCCACTACACCCACCCAGGGCTCCTCTACCACTCCTTCCACTACACCCTTCCAGGGCTCCTCTACCGCTCCTTCCACTACACCCTGCCAGGACTCCTCTACCGCTCCTTCCACTACACCCGTCCAGGACTCCTCTACTGCTCCTTCCACTACATCCTGCCAGGGCTCCTCTACTGCTCATTCCACTACAATCTGTCAGGGCTCCTCTACCGCTCCTTCCACTACACCTTTCCAGGGCTCCTCTACCGCTCCTTCCACTAATCTTGCCAGGGCTGCTCTACCGCTCCTTCCACTACATCCTGCCAGGGCTCCTCTACTGCTCCTTCCACTACATCCTGCCAGGGCTCCTCTACTGCTCCTTCCACTACACCCTGCCAGGGCTCCTCTACCGCTCCTTCCACTACACCCTGCCAGGGCTCCTCTACCGCTCCTTCCACTACATCCTTCCAGGGTTCCTCTACCGCTCCTTCCACTACACCCTGCCAGGGCTCCTCTACCGCTCCTTCCACTACACCCGTCCAGGGCTCCTCTACCGCTCCTTCCACTACATCCTTCCAGGGTTCCTCTATCGCTCCTTCCACTACACCCTGCCAGGGCTCCTCTACCGCTTCCTCAACTACACCCGTCCAGGTCTCCTCTACCGCTCCTTCCACTACACCCTTCCAGGGCTCCTCTACCACTCCTTCCACTACACCCTTCCAGGGCTCCTCTACCGCTCCTTCCACTACACCCTGCCAGGACTCTACCGCTCCTTCCACTACACCCGTCCAGGACTCCTCTACTGCTCCTTCCACTACACCCATCCAGGGCTCCTCTACCGCTTCTTCCACTACACCCACCCAGGGCTCCTCTACCACTCCTTCCACTACACCCTTCCAGGGCTCCTCTACCGCTCCTTCCACTACACCCGTCCAGGACTCCTCTACCGCTCCCTTCCACTACACCCGTCCAGGACTCCTCTACTGCTCCTTCCACTACACCCATCCAGGGCTCCTCTACCACTCCTTCCACTACATCCTGCCAGGGCTCCTCTACTGCTCATTCCACTACAATCTGTCAGGGCTCCTCTACCGCTCCTTCCACTACACCCTTCCAGGGCTCCTCTACCACTGCTTCAACTACACCCATCCAGGGCTCCTCTACTGCTCCTTCCACTACATCCTTCCAGGGCTCCTCTACCACTGCTTCCACTACACCCATCCAGGGCTTCTCTACTGCTTCTTCCACTTCACCCTTCCAGGACTCCTCTACCGCTCCTTCCACTACACTCTTCCAGGCCTCCTCTACCGCTCCTTCCACTACCGCAGCCAGCACATAATCTACAGTGTTGGCTGATGTCAGACACAAGTGGTAGGATGACCCCCAGTGTCATGTGACAGTGATTGACCCTAGATAATGGCGGCTATACCCAAGCCCTGTCACATGGGAGGAGGTCACATGCTCCCCCATATACGGAAGCACTGGGTATTGTCATTGGTGAGATTGTTGGAAGGAGCAGTGGAGGAACACTGGCAAGGTAAGCATCGGAAGGTGTGGGGGCTTCTGCAATGACATCTACAATTTGCAATGATTGGGGAACACGATGAAGCCCTTATCCTGGTGTGTTCCCTATGAAGGAGATGTATTGTTTCTGCTTTCTCCCTATTCTAAACCACTGAAATAGATATTTATTATAGTTATTTTTATAGTGCTGGCAATTTACTCTGCCCCTTCCACATGGTACATTACCAACCAACATTTTACCCCAGAGGAACTCCTTACTCTCAGAGAATCTCTCCTAGGATCAATCTATTGGGGGTCCTTAGGAAAATACCACTTACATTGGTGGGCAGTTGGAAGAATGCTCCTCAAATTGATGGTCAGTGGGAAGAATGCTCCTTACATTGCTGGTCAGTGGGAAGAATGCTCCTTACATTGGTGTCAGTGGGAAGAATGCTCCTTACATTGGCGTTGGTTAGTGGGAAGAATGCTCCTTACATTGGTGGTCAATGGGAAGAATGCTCCTTACATTGGTGGGCAGTTGGAAGAATGCTCCTCAAATTGATGGTCAGTGGGAAGAATGCTCCTTACATTGGTGGTCAGTGGGAAGAATGCTCCTTACATTGGTGGTCAGTGGGAAGAATGCTCCTTACATTGGTGGTCAGTTGGAAGAATGCTCCTTACATTGGTGGTCAGTGGGAAGAATGCTCCTTACATTGGTGGTCAGTGGGAAGAATGCTCCTTACATTGGTGGTCAGTGGGAAGAATGCTCCTTACATTGGTGTCAGTGGGAAGAATGCTCCTTACATTGGTGTCAGTGGGAAGAATGCTCCTTACATTGGCGTTGGTTAGTGGGAAGAATGCTCCTTACATTGGTGGTCAGTGGGAAGAATGCTCCTTACATTGTTGGTCAGTGGGAAGAATGCTCCTTACATTGGTGTCAGTGGGAAGAATGCTCCTTACATTGGTGTCAGTGGGAAGAATGCTCCTTACATTGGCGTTGGTCAATGGGAAGAATGCTCCTTACATTGGTGGGCAGTTGGAAGAATGCTCCTCAAATTGATGGTCAGTGGGAACAATGCTCCTTACATTGGTGCTCAGTGGGAACAATGCTCCTTACATTGGTGGTCAGTGGGAAGAATGCTCCTTACATTAGTGTCAGTAGGAAGAATGCTCCTTACACTGGTGGTCAGTGCGAAAAAATGCTCCTTACATTGGTGTCAGTGGGAAGAATGCTCCTTACATTGGTGGTCAGTGGGAAGAATGCTCCTTACATTGGTGTTGGTTAGTGGGAAGAATGCTCCTTACATTGGTGGTCAATGGGAAGAATGCTCCTTACATTGATGGTCAATGGGAAGAATGCTCCTTACATTGATGGTAAATGGGAAGAATGCTCCTTACATTGGTGATCAGTGGGACAAATGCTCCTTAAATTGGTGGTTAGGGGGAAGAATGCTTCTTACATTGATGGTCAGTGGAAGAATTCTCCTTACATTGGTGGCCAATGGGAAAAATACCCTTTAACTACTTCCCTACTGGGCCAATTCTAACACTTCTTACATACAGTTGTGTTCAAAATAATAGCAGTGTGTTGAAAAAAGTGTATAAAGCTGAAAATCCTTCTAATAGCTTTTATTTCCATCCACACAAATGCATTGGGAACACGACACATTCTATTCCAAATCAAAACATGAAGAAAAATACATCAAATTTGTGTTGTTCCTCTAAAAAAAATTGAAGAAAAGTGAATATTAGACGGTTCAAAAAAATTGCAGTGTTTATATTCTTCTTTACAAACTCAAACATTCACTATATAAACTGAGAAATGTTTGTAGATTTTGCTTTCCTTTGAATGACTTCATGAATATTTGGTTGTAGTCGCACTGTTTCTGAGAACTGCTGTACATCTGTGTTGCATGGAGTCACCCAACTTCTGGCCCCTGTGATCAGGTATTCCAGCCCAGGATGATTGGACCACATTCCACAGTTCTTCTCTATTTCTTGGTTTTGCCTCAGAAACGGCATTTTTGATGTCACCCCACAAGTTTTCTATTGGATTAAGATCCGGGGATTGGGCTGGCCACTCCATAACGTCCATCTTGTTGGTCTGGAACCAAGATGTTGCACGTTTACTGGTGTGTTTGGGGTCATTGTCTTGTTGGAACACCCATTTCAAGGGCATTTCCTCTTCAGCATAAGGCAGCATGACCTCTTCAAGTATTCTGATGAATTCAAACTGATCCATGATCCCTGGTATGCGATAAATAGGCCCAACACCGTAGTATGAGAGACATCCCCATATCATGATGCTTGCACCACCATGCTTCACTGTCTTCACAGTGTACTGTGGCTTGAATTCAGTGTTTGGGGGTCGTCTGACAAACTGTCTCCGCCCACTAGACCCAAAAAGAACAATCTTACTTTCATCAGTCCACAAAATGTTGCGCCATTTCTCTTTAGGCCGGTCAATGTGCTCTTTGGCAGATTGTAACCTCTTCAGCACACGTCTTTTTTCCAACAGTGGGACTTTGCGGGGACTTCTTGCAGATAGCTTGGCTTCACATCGGCGTCTTCTAATTGTAACAGTCCTCACAGGGAACGTCACACCTTCTTTCATCTTCCTGGAGCTGATTTTTGCGCGCGCCATTTTGTCTATTCTTCTGTCCATTCGAATGGTAGTTTTTCGCTTTCTTCCACGTCTTTCAGGTTTTGGTTGCCATTTTAAAGCATTTGCCATCATTTTAGCTGAGCAGCCGATCATTTTCTGCACTTCTTTATATGTTTTCCCCTCTCCAATCAACTTTTTAATCAAGGTACGCTGTTCTTCTGAACAATGTCTGGAACGACCCATTTTCCTCAGAATTTCAGAGAGAAATGCACTGTAACCAGCATGTACAACATTTGCTGCCTTCCTTCCTTAAATAAGGGCAATAATTGCCACCTGTTTTTCAAAGAATGAATGACCTCACTAATAGAACTCCACACGGCTATTATATTGAACACGCCCCTTTCAATGAGTGATCCAATGACACAGAATCAGCAGCATGCATGTCATTACTTTTGGGTCTGTTGGATTTCTATTACTCTACTACACCGCTAGGAAATTATTTGCCATGTAGAAATATCATTTCTACCAAAAACAGTGATTGATCCAGTTAGTGATGTCTGACTGCTATTATTTTGAACACAACTGTACATGTAGAAATCAACATATTTTTTGCAAGAAAATTACTTAGAACTCCCAAGCATTATGTATTTTTTAAGCAGAGGCCCTACAGAATAAAATAGTGAATGTTGCAATTTTTTATAGTGCAAGGTATTTTCACACCGTTTTTCAAACACAATATTTTTTGTCAAAATACACTTTAATGAACTTTAGTGAACACAAACGTAATATAATACCCAATTTCTGGTAAAACATAAAAGATTATGTTATGCCGAGTATATAGATACCTAACATGTCATGCTTCAAAATTGCGTATGCCTGTGGAAGAGCACCAAGCTACGATACCTGAAAATTTCAATAGGCAACAATTTAAAAGTCTTTACAGGTTATGAATTTAGAGTTACACAGGAGGTTTGGGTGACTGAAATATTGCTCTCACTCTGACATTTGTGTTGATACCTCACATGTGTGGTGTAATCACTGTTTACATATGCATGCAGGACTTGTGTATGCATTCGCATTTTCATGTGCAAACAGGGGAATAGGGGTGCTTTAATATTTCTCAAATCACTTCTACATGAAACATCATTGCCAGCTGAAAATTTTGACCGGGATGATGCCTGTAGCTGCAAGAATCATCATGGTACAACCAGTTAAACCTCAGGACATCATATGACGTCCACCCAGGGGGAAGTGGTCAAATGGGTGGTCAGTTGGAAGAATGCTTCTTGCATTGGAGGTCAGGGGGAAAAATTTTCCTTACATTGGTGGTCAGTGGGCAGAATGTTCCTTACATTGGTGATCAGTGGGAAGAATGCCCCTTTCATGGGTGTCAGTGAGAAGAATGCTCATTACATTGGTGATCAGTGGGAAGAATGCTCCTTACATTGGTGATCAGTGGAAGAATGCTCCTTACATTGGTGTCAGTGGGAAGAATGCTCCTTACATTGGTGGTCAGTGGAAAGAATGCTCCTTACATTGGTGATCAGTGGGAAGAATGCTCCTTACATTGGAATCAGTGGGAAGAATGCTCCTTACATTGGGTGTCAGTGGAAAAAATGCCCTTACATTGGTGATCAGTGGGAAGAATGCCCCTTTCATGGGTGTCAGTGAAAGAATGCTCCTTACATTGGTGATCAGTGGGAAGAATGCTCCTTACATTGATCAGTGGGAAGAATGCCCCTTACTTTGGTGGGTCAGTGGGAAGAATGCCCCTTTCATTGGTGAGTGTCAGTGCGAAAGAATGCTCCTTACATTGGCGGTCAGTGGGAAGAATGCTCCTTACATTGGGGTCAGTGGGAAGAATGTTCCTTACATTGGTGATCAGTGGGAAGAATGCCCCTTTCATGGGTGTCAGTGAGAAGAATGCTCATTACATTGGTGATCAGTGGGAAGAATGCTCCTTACATTGGTGATCAGTGGGAAGAATGCTCCTTACATTGGTGTCAGTGGGAGGAATGCTCCTTACATTGGTGGTCAGTGGAAAGAATGCTCCTTACATTGGTGATCAGTGGGAAGAATGCTCCTTACATTGGTGATCAGTGGGAAGAATGCTCCTTACATTGGGTGTCAGTGGAAAAAATGCCCCTTACATTGGTGATCAGTGGGAAGAATGCCCCTTTCATGGGTGTCAGTGAGAAGAATGCTCCTTACATTGGTGATCAGTGGGAAGAATGCTCCTTACATTGATCAGTGGGAAGAATGCCCCTTACATTGGTGGATCAGTGGGAAGAATGCCCCTTTCATGAGTGTCAGTGCGAAGAATGCTCCTTACATTGGGGGTCAGTGGGAAGAATGCTCCTTACATTGGGGGTCAGTGGGAAGAATGTCCCTTACATTGGTGATCAGTGGGAAGAATGTCCCTTACATGGGTGATCAGTGGAAGAATGCTCCTTACATTGGTGATCAGTGGGAAGAATGCTCCTTACATTGGTGATCAGTGGGAAGAATGTCCCTTACATTGGTGTCAGTGGGAAGAATGTCCCTTACATTGGTGTCAGTGGGAAGAATGTCCCTTACATTGGTGTTCAGTGGGAAGAATGTCCCTTACATTGGGGGTCAGTGGGAAGAATGCCCTTACATGAGTGTCAGTGCGAAGAATGCTCCTTACATTGGGGGTCAGTGGGAAGAATGTCCTTACATTGGTGATCAGTGGGAAGAATGCTCCTTACATTGGTGGTCAGTGGAAGAATGCTCCTTACATTGGTGATCAGTGGGAAGAATGTCCCTTACATTGGTGATCAGTGGGAAGAATGTCTCCTTACATTGGGTGTCAGTGGGAAGAAAATGTCCCTTACATTGGTGATCAGTGGGAAGAATGCTCCTTACATTGGTGTCAGTGGAAAGAATGCCCCTTACATTGGTAATCAGTGGGAAGAATGCTCCTTACATTGGTGATCAGTGGGAAAAATGCCCCTTACATTGGTGATCAGTGGGAAGAATGTCCTTACATTGGTGATCAGTGGGAAGAATGCTCCTTACATTGGTGATCAGTGGGAAGAATGCCCTTACATTGGTGGTCAGTGGGAAGAATGCCCTTACATTGGTGTCAGTGGGAAGAATGCTCCTTACATTGGGATCAGTGGGAAGAATGCTCCTTACATTGGGTGTCAGTGGAAAAAATGCCCCTTACATTGGTGATCAGTGGAAGAATGCTCCTTACATTGGGTGTCAGTGGGAAGAATGCTCCTTACATTGGTGATCAGTGGGAAGAATGTCCCTTACATTGGTGATCAGTGGGAAGAATGCTTTTACATTGGTGATCAGTGGAAGAATGCCCCTTACATTGGTGATCAGTGGAAGAATGCCCTTACATTGGGTGTCAGTGGGAAGAATGCTCCTTACATTGGTGGTCAGTGGGAAGAATGCTCCTTACATTGGTGGTCAGTGGGAAGAATGCTCCTTACATTGGTGATCAGTGGAAAAAATGCTCCTTACATTGGTGGTCAGTGGGAAGAATGCTCCTTACATTGGTGATCAGTGGGAAGAATGCTCCTTACATTGGTGATCAGTGGGAAGAATGCCCTTACATTGGTGATCAGTGGGAAGAATGCTCCTTACATTGGTGATCAGTGGAAGAATGCTCCTTACATTGGTGGTCAGTGGGAAGAATGTTCCTTACATTGGTGATCAGTGGGAAGAATGTCCCTTACATTGGTGATCAGTGGGAAGAATGCTCCCTTACATTGGTGATCAGTGGGAAGAATGCTTCCTTACATTGGTGTCAGTGGGAAGAATGCTCCTTACATTGGTGTCAGTGGGAAGAATGCCCTTACATTGGTGATCAGTGGGAAGAATGTCCCTTACATTGGTGGTCAGTGGGAAGAATGCTCCTTACATTGGTGGTCAGTGGGAAAAATGCTCCTTACATTGGTGGTCAGTGGGAAGAATGCCCCTTATATTGTGATCAGTGGGAAGAATGCTCCTTACATTGGTGATCAGTGGGAAGAATGCTCCTTACATTGGTGTCAGTGGGAAGAATGCTCCTTACATTGGTGATCAGTGGGAAGAATGCTCCTTACATTGGTCATCAGTGGGAAGAATGTCCTTACATTTGGTGATCAGTGGGGAAGAATGTTCTTACATTGATGTCAGTGGGAAGAATGTCCCTTACATTGGGGGTCAGTGGATGCTCCTTACATTGGTCAGTGGGAAGAATGCCCTTACATTGATGGTCAGTGGGAAGAATGCTCCTTACATTGGTCGTCAGTGGGAAGAATGCTCCTTACATTGGTGGTCAGTGGGAAGAATGTCCCTTACATTGATGGTCAGTGGGAAGAATGCTCCCTTACATTGGTGGTCAGTGGTCGTCATTGGTGAGTGGGAAGAATGAATGTGGGAAGAATGCTCCCTTACATTGGTGGTCAGTGGGAAAATGTCCCTTACATTCAGGTGATCAGTGGGAAGAATGCTCCTTATATTGGTGGTCAGTGGGAAAGAATGTCCCTTACATTGGAGGTCAGTGGGAAGAATGTCCCTTACATTGGTGGTCAGTGGAAAGAATGCTCCTTACATTGGTGTCAGTGGGAAGAATGTCCTTACATTGGTGGTCATTGTGGGGAAGAATGTCCCTTACATTGGTGGTCAGTGGGAAGATTGCTCCTCAATAGGGTGTGAGTGGAGACAGTGCAGGCTGGAAGTGATGTATGGGGAAGTCCAATATCTCAATCTCTGTTTATGGTTTATGTAGATTATGTGAGTGCAATTCTTTAATCACTTAGCTGATTATTATTTGGTATTATACTATGGGAGTTTTTTTCTTCTATTCACCCCAAAGAGAGCTATGCATCATGGCCGCGTGAATACTTAAAGCGACTATACCCCAGAACCGCCAAAGCTTTTGAGTATCATATCCAGTGAGCCCTCTGTGGATGGAGGTGGAAGTGCCACTTTCCCCAATAGCTGGGAGTTTGGACGATCTGGTTGACATGTGATCTTTTATCTGAGAATGGAAGTGAGCTTTCTGTGAGCCCAGAGTGCACCACGTGGTGTTTGTATATATAATTTATTCACAGTGGTGTGGGTCACATGAGGCTCAGATGATTCCAACTACCATTTCTGGAAGGAACAACTTAGAAGGACTGTGAATTTTTCTTGACTGAAAGAAATTTTAACCTTGAATGTGGTTTTTCATTCAGGAAAAATCAAACGTATTGTAATGAAACCTGTCTACTATACATCTGGGATTCCATTCAGTTATCAGACGGATGCAATTTTAAGGGCTGAGGAAATGCTTCCTCCTCCTTGCAGCAGCTGATCCGCAAGGAATTCACATCATTGTGAACCGGGACTGGCGCTCCTCTGTACAAATGCTGCCTCCGCCTCCTCCTGCCTATACTGCAGGGGTGCTCAACCTTTTGAAGAGCAAGGGCCACTTAAGTGATTTGGTAACTAGTCGAAATGATTCAGAATTTCAAATTGTATTTTTCGAATAGCATAATGAACGTTTTCCTCCAGCAGGAGAGAGGAGGAGAAGCCGACTTTCAGCGGTTTCAGGAGGAAAATGTTGAGGATCAGTATATGTATATGCTGCCCTCGCCAGCCCTCCTATCCAAAATGGAATGTGACAAGGAGACCACATGGATCTCCTGAAGCTTGTGGCGAGGTCACCATTGTGGTCCCTGATGCAACACCATTGGTTGGGGATGTGTGCTAAAAACACTTCTCAACTATGGGGTTTTACCACTCCCCAAACCACAAATTTAAATGAGCCTTTACTATTCTGAGCCCCCTACAAGGCTGTGTTCACCCTCAGCAGTTAGCTGCACTTTGCCATAGACTTCTATTATATCCTGCGGGTTAGCTGCGCTTTGCCATAGACTTCTATTTATCCTGCGGGTTAGCCGCTCTTTGCCATAGACTTCTATTATATCCTGCGGGTTAGCTGCGCTTTGCCATAGACTTCTATTATATCCTGCGGGTTAGCCGCACTTTGCCATAGACTTCTATTATATCCTGCGGGTTAGATGCGCTTTGCCATAGACTTCTATTATATCCTGCGGGTTAGCCGTGCTTTATCATAGACTTCTATTTTATCCTGCGGGTTAGCCGCTCTTTGCCATAGACTTCTATTATATCCTGCGGGTTAGCCGCGCTTTGCCATAGACTTCTATTATATCCTGCGGGTTAGCTGCGCTTTGCCATAGACTTCTATTATATCCTGCGGGTTAGCCGCGCTCTTTGCCATAGACTTCTGTTATATCCTGCGGGTTAGCCGCTCTTTGCCATAGACTTCTATTATATCCTGCGGGTTAGCCGCTCTTTGCCATAGACTTCTATTATATCCTGCGGATTAGATGCGCTTTGCCATAGACTTCTGTTATATCCTGCGGGTTAGCCGCTCTTTGCCATAGACTTCTATTATATCCTGCGGGTTAGATGCGCTTTGCCATAGACTTCTATTATATCCTGCGGGTTAGATGCGCTTTGCCATAGACTTCTATTATATCCTGCGGTTAGCTGCGCTTTGTCATAGACTTCTGTTATATCCTGCAGGTTAGCTGCGCTTTGCCATAGACATCTATTATATCCTGCAGGTTAGCTGCGCTTTGTCATAGACTTCTATTATATCCTGCGGGTTAGCCGCGCTTTGCCATAGACTTCTATTATATCCTGCGGGTTAGCCGCGCTTTGCCATAGACTTCTATTATATCCTGCGGGTTAGCCGCTCTTTGCCATAGACTTCTATTATATCCTGCGGGTTAGCTGTGCTTTGTCATAGACTTCTATTATATCCTGCGGGTTAGCCGCTCTTTGTCATAGACTTCTATTATATCCTGCGGGTTAGCCGCACTTTGCATAGACTTCTATTATATCCTGCGGGTTAGCCGTGCTTTATCATAGACTTCTATTATATCCTGCGGGTTAGCCGCTCTTTGCCATAGACTTCTATTATATCCTGCGGGTTAGCCGCGCTTTGCCATAGACTTCTATTATATCCTGCGGGTTAGCCGCTCTTTGCCATAGACTTCTATTATATCCTGCGGGTTAGCCGCTCTTTGCCATAGACTTCTATTATATCCTGCAGGTTAGCTGCGCTTTGCCATAGACTTCTATTATATCCTGCGGGTTAGCTGCGCTTTGCCATAGACTTCTATTATATCCTGCGGGTTAGCCGCTCTTTGCCATAGACTTCTATTATATCCTGCGGGTTAGCCGCTCTTTGCCATAGACTTCTATTATATCCTGCGGGTTAGCCGCTCTTTGCCATAGACTTCTATTATATCCTGCAGGTTAGCTGCGCTTTGCCATAGACTTCTATTATATCCTGCGGGTTAGCTGCGCTTTGCCATAGACTTCTATTATATCCTGCGGGTTAGCCGCTCTTTGCCATAGACTTCTGTTATATCCTGCGGGTTAGCCGCTCTTTGCCATAGACTTCTATTATATAGTGCAGGTATGGTGCTCTTTCAGAAACCCACATGATATAACAGAAGTGCACTTCCCTGGTTAGTGGCCGAGGGCCACATCAAAGGGCTCCAAGGGCCACATATGGCCAGTGGGCCACAGGTTTAGCACCCCTGCTATACTGCATAGCCTGTATAAAAGAGATCTGTGGAAATACTGTTTTTCAATCTGGTCTGGCGCAATCACCTGATCCACAAGCTCTGGCTCTCCTGACAACAGGGAGGCAGTGGGAACCAGTGGGTGCTGTCATGGCTCCGGGAATTCAGAGCCGTTGTTGAGTGCTTCCCTGCCCCGCAGCAGCCACTTTCTGATATAAGGGTAGCCGCTGCTTCTGGATCACGTGATCACACCGGAGTGGATTAAAAAGAAGTATTTCTACAGATCTCTTTTAGAAAGGTTATATAGCATATTATTATTATTCAGGATTTATGGCGCCAACAGTTTGCTCTGCGCTTTACGATATAACAGGAGACAATACAGCAACAATACAGTTCAATACAAGAGGGATAGGAGGGCCCTGATCCTGGGAGCTTACAATCTAGGATAGGTAGGAGGATAAAGGAAGTGCCATTTTAAGGCACCTTATAGGTAGGTTTTACTTCCACTTTAACAACTGAGTACTGTCCGTGATACTTTTTTGTATTTGCACTAACATGCATTTTTCAGGACAAGCTTTCAGGGTATGTCCCCTTCTTCAAGGTCCAAGCAGTACTGAAGGGGACATACCCTGAAAGCTTGTCCTGAAAATTGTAAATAAAAAAAGTATCACGGACGATACTCAATTGTTTCTGTCTCAAGTGCACTAATACGGCTAAAATCACTTCCACTTTAAGGAAGGCCTTTATTAATAAAAGATGGAGCTTTTATTAAAAAATAAATAAATGATATTGTTTCTGACTATTGACATATCGGGAATTAATTCACGCAGACTTGTACAGTGGCTGATATATCCGCTTTAGGGACTCATGCACACTGGGCGTCAAAAATGCCTCTTTTACAGATGTTTGGCTTTTCTTTTTCTATCCAAGCATACAGAGGTGCTTACAGGCATTTAGAGGCATTAAAAAAAAAAAGAAAATCACTTGTGCATTCAAGAGTGGAATGTTTCGGCACAAAAAATGCTGAATGCGACTAAAATGCCTGTAAACGCATCTAAACACAAGGTGTGCTTAGTGCTTGAGTGTTCATTCATTCCAATGGCCAGAGTAAAGTAATATTGAATGAATCAATGTCCCAACACTCTTGCAAAATGTATTTTTTTGGCGCGTTATTTAACTATTTCCTGTCTGCCGTGTGCATCTACACGTCCTCAGATGGGAGTGGTGATATCTCGGTCATCGCTGCAGCAATGATCGAGATATCATTCTGTAGAGCTGGTGATTTCCCGAGAAAGTAAAAGTGATCGGAGCGGCTATACAGCCACCTGACCACTTTTGCAGGCTGAGGAAGGTCCCGCCTCTGCTGACGCCTTTACGGGGTTCTCCTGTCTCATCGGG